AGACGTAGACTTCAAGGTCCACATCTTTTAACTGAACAAAAGCGATGTCTGCATGGCAGTGTTGGAGACGGACAGAGACACGGCCCACAGGCAGCTCAATAAGGGCAGAATTAAATCGGCTGGGTTAACTGTCGGATGAGAGAAAGAGTGACGGTGCAGAGATACTACTGGTGTCTTGGTTACGGGGACATAGACGAACGGACTTCAAAGGACTAGACAGAGGACAATGCTGCTGGAAATGCGGCACGACCGGACACGTCGGGAAAGCCTGCCCGACTCAACAACCGACATGTTTCTTGTGCTCCGGAGCATATACGAGGGAGTGTGCGCACGTTCCAGGAGACGTCCTGAGACGTCCACAGTATACCAAACCGCGCTGGAGGAGCGCCGGAAGCAGACCCAGACATTAACAAAATCCTGCAAGGTAATCTACGCAGATGTGAGGATACCCAGCTGATGGTTCCACAAATAGTGAAAAAACGAGACGCAGATATACTGATACTGAGTGAACAGTTATGGAATTTACGTGCACAAGACGGCTGATTTTCAAATGCCTGTGGTACGTTGGCCATCTAGGTAAAGGGGAAACCGGCATGAAGAATGCTAGCGTCCGGAAGGGGGAAGACTACAGGTGAGTGAAAGTAGATTCCGTCATCTACGTTAGCGCATACTTAACCCCCAACTGCACAATGGCAGTTTTCGAGGAAAAAATTAATCAGCTAAAGTACACCGTCAGAGACCTATCGGGCGACCTCGTTGTTGCGGGCGATTTGAACTCCAGGGCGATCGACTGAATCATGACAACGACGCACAAATGAGGAAGGTTGCTTTTGGAGATGGTTGCAAGGCTGGATCTGGAAGTATCCAATCAAACAACGACTCTGACGTACAGACGACCTGGCTTTGGGTACTCAATACCTGATATAACAATGACTTCAGGCACGATCTCGTTACGGATAAGGAGATGGCGGGTGATCGTAGACTACACAGCCAGCGATTACCAGCACATTGTCTTTAAGGTAACGGACCATGGAATGACACAACGAAATGGACAGACCAGAGACAGGACTCTAAAGTACTGGAACCTCCGGAAGCAAGACAAGAAGCGCTTCGTAAGACTACTGCAGGAGGCGACGGCATCCACCGAAGTTCTCCCGGCAGATATCGGCACACGGGAACGAGCAAATTGGATAACGGACAAGAGATGGACTTGATAACGTAACTGTTCAACGCCACGATTACCCGACGTAAAAGCAGAAAGGACAAACGTGCAATATACTGGTGGACGCACGAAATTAATTTGCCTGCCGTAGGAGGATAAATCGCGCACGAAAGAAGGGACGTCCAGACACAGACAGACTAGCGACCGAGTACAAGACGGCATGAAAGGATCTGACTACCAGGATCAGAGAAAGTAAGAATCGCTGCTCGAGAAAACTGTGCGGAGAAATGGAAAGGAATCTCTGGGGTCTTGATTACAAGATTGTAATCTGAGCTCTTCCGAGCTAAAAGACAAGAACACCATGAGTACAATAGTCGACGGACTCTTCTCGAACCAGCCAGAGACGGCCGACGGCATGGACAACTAAGAGATGACAGTGTTTGAGTTTGGCGAGGCGGAGTTCACCCGAGCTACCTCCACGCTTAAACCCGGTAAGGCACCAGGGCCGGACTGCATCCCGGCGGAGATCCTCCGTCGGATCGTGGTTGTATGCCCGGGACTCCTCCTTGACATTATAGAGCGGTTTTACGAGCTGGCATCTTCCCCACGCGATGGAAGAAGGCCAGACTGATTCTCCTATACAAAGGCAAAGAAGAGCCGAATAATCCGTCTTCCTATAGGCCTCTGAGTCTGCTAGATATAGCAGGCAAACTGTACGAAGCTCTACTGAAATTAAGATTGACGAACGCGATCACAGCAAACGGAGGACTGGCAAAGAAGTAGCACGATTTTAGAAGAGGTCGCTCAACAATAGAGGTGATACGAGAGGTTGCGGACGCCTACCTGCGGACGAGGCGCATTTGCTACGGAATGAGGTCGAGAGTGGTTCTCGCAACATTAGACGTCAGGAATGCCTTTAACTCCGCCGGGTGAGGGGGATATTTTAGAAGCCCTCCAAGCCTCCGAAGTTCCTTAATACCTGATGCTGGAGCTGAGAGAGTACCTAAGAGACAGATGAATTATATACGAGACGACCGAAGGAACAGTAACGAGATGGATTACTGCAGTGTCGTCCAGAAATCCATATTAGACCTGAATCTCTGGAAAATATTGTATGTTACACCACTCAGATTGGAAATGCCGCCAGAGGTCGAGCTAGTCACCTACGCCGATAACGTGACAGTGGTGATAATGGTGCGAACCCCGGCACTGGCACAAATGTTACTGAACTGCGTGATGCTACGAATCAACAGCCGAATGACCAGACACGAACTGAATTTGGCCCTAGCTAAGACGGGACTCATCCTTTTAACGGAAAGTAGGATTGACACCCTGATTTCTATGATGGTCGGAGAGATACAAACGCAGACTAGGAGGACGGTCAAGTATCTGCGGGTGACTTTAGATATGAAGCTGGCCTTCTGGCCACACATACAAGAGGCATCTAAGAAGGCGGCAGAAAGGACTTCCGCTTTCAGTCGCCTGATGGCGAATATATTTCAAGAGACTGAGACAATGGACGAGACGACTACTGATATCTACGACCCACTCGATCATGCTGTACGAGTCGGAGGTGTGGACCGACGCATTGGAGGTCAGGAAATACAGCAAGCGACTGACGAACATACAACGACAGGGAGCACTGAGAATTGCCTGCGCCTACAGAACAGTCTCCTCAGAGACTGTCTTGGTGATGGCGGGCGTGAACCCGATAGATCTGCTTGCTAGAGAACGAAAGCACGTGCACGAACGAAATGGAGACGAAACAAGAACAGAACCCGCGGTGGAAGAAAGAACCATGACCATGACGGACTGGAACAAAAGATAGAGGAGGGGCATGACTCGTGCATGGACGAGATGCCTGATTGACGACCTGAACCCGTGGACGGAAAGAAGATTCGGGGAAGTAAATTTTTTTCTGACTTAGTTTCTTATCATTCACGCATACTTCAGGAAATACTTATTCGACAGAGGGAAAGTAAGCAGCCCTGATTGTAAATACAAACGAAACGACGCTGAGCACACGTTTTTGGAATGTAGCCAGGGGGATACGGAGCGACGACAAGTGAAGGCGGAAGTAGGCAGTGTCACGCCAGAAAACATCGTGGCAAAGATGCTGCTAGACAAGAACAGTTGAACAATGATCGTAACTTACGTCGAGGCAATTCTAAGGGAGAAAAAGGCGGATGGGTATCTGGAAGTCGAGTGAATGACGAGCAAATGTGAGCGTGAATGCGTATGAAAGAAAATGGATAAATGTATAATGACGAACGATAATTTGTCTGATACGTAACGGAATACGATGCAGGCCGCCTGACGACAAAGAGAGAATACGACACGGTTCTCCAGCGAGAAGTAATGCTAACGCAGTTCCTCGCTGGAGAACGAAAGACGGTGGATATTACATACCCCTGTCCCGAAAATTCATTGTCAGATCAGAGGAAAACAGATTTAGACGGTAAGGGGTTGGGCTCTGATGGCTCAACTATTATTCGTAACGGTCCAGCCAGATGTGGTCGACCAGTCCTTTACACGATGGGAAAGCGCGACAATGGATTTCGCTCACTGGCGTAGTCTTACGCGTCAGGTACATGAGGATTTGCCTGTTTTTTAACCACCATAAAAAAAATTCAAAATTATTCAATTAAGATATGTTTAAAATTTATTGAATTTCAATCGACGCGTTTATTAAAAACAATTCATTTTATTAAATCAATTAAAATTTATTAAAATTCAATCAATTTTAATAATTTGTAATGAAATATTTTTAGCAGAATATCCAGTTGAATTTGCTTCATAATATAATCACAGATAACCGATAGTGATAAGGAAAAAATAACAGTTTCATTTGTTTACATGAATCTATTTCGATTCGTTGTTAAATAGTTAATTACTAATAATATTCAAAAACATTACATTAATTATATTTGTATGCACCGCATAGGAAACATAACTTAATTAAGTATATCTTCTTGTGTACTTAAATTATACTTTTAAAGTTTAAATATTTTATTTTACACAACGAGATATTAGTTAACAATTTGAATTGACCAATTTTTTTCAATCAATTTTATCATGGTACAGCAAAATTTATATATTTTGGTGATTCAAACATTAAAACAACCGAACCACGATATGAACAAAAACTTGGAGGACAGACAAATTTTGCGCATGCGCATAGTCGTCTTTTCTTTGGTGAACATTGAACTATACGAGATAATTTATTCATTATTTTATTCGTTTACTAAATAGTTATTCAAAAATGAAAGTAGTTACGAAACGAGAAAATTACGAGCATTTAAATGGTTATTTTAAACATACGAAAGAATATTTCGCTGCGAAGATTTTTGCAACTACCCTATTATAAATTAATATTTTATGAACGGTTGAAAAACAGAATTTTGGGTTTCTATTTTCAGAACAAGTATTGAAAATCCTTTCGAATCGTATTTTTTTAATTTTTGGGAAGATTTGTTTGCTATAAGTCGACGATGCTTTTTGAGTTTAAAAAATGCCTTATTTTCTTTAGACTAGTCTAGCAAAATACCGTTCCATCTAAAATTTGTTTTCGAAAAAATTGTACCTTAGCAAACAATTCTGATTATATATTTGAATTAAGCAAATAAAAATCTATAAATTATAACAATTGTTTTCAATTTAGCTTAAATTACGGAAGTTGGAACGAGAAAGTTACACAGCTGATCGGTGTCGGACTATCGGAACTGAACCGGCATGACTTTTTGGATTAAGTAGCAGTTCTTCAGCTTAAAGAGAAGTTAAAGTAAATTATTACATTTTTAAATACATTGATGATTTAAGTGATTTGTTCATTAAACAAAAGTGAAAATTATGATTTCTAAAACCACTGTCAGTATCGCTGTTGGTGTTGCTGGTATATTTGTTGGATATTGTGTCTATTTTGATCGAAAACGACGCAGTGATCCAGAATTTCGAAAAAAATTACGTGAACGTAAGAGCAATATAAAATAAAATTTAGTATTATAATTGAATACTTTGATAGATACAATTAATTATTAATTCATACTTTTTATCTTTTCTTTTTTTCGTTTAATATCTTCATGATAATATAGTATTAGTATCAAATTAGATCAATCAATAAGTAATGAAATTAAAAAATGTTTTTTGAATAATTACACGTCTTTAACTAGATTAGATGTAACATTTTTATAACTAGATTATATACCATATATTGATAAGTAGGTTGAATTGAAACATTTTAAAAAGTTATTAAAACGTGAGTAAGTCATGAAACTACTTAAAAATTATATTCTTACTAACATCACAGAAAATTAATTGGATAAATATCTTATTTCTAAATAAATTCTTTACTGAAAAACATTAAATAACCTTTTATTTTCTATTTTCTGTTTAGTTATATAATTAAATATTTTACTACTTAATTTGAATAAATTATCATGGGGATGAAAAATATAAATTAATATTAATATTACGTTAAATTCTTATGAATAATACTCTATACCTTGTTTATCCATATGTTTTTTGGCTCTTAATTTCAAATCCACTTTTTATATTATAAAACAGTGATAATAAAGTGAAGTTAGTAGAACAAATTTGCGAAAATTAATTTTTTTATCACTTTTATTAAATCCATACAAGAAATTGAAAACAGTTCTATATGACATAATATTTCCTTTTAATTTATTTTATTTATATCAATCACAAAAATAGTGAGTACCTTGTTATTTTTCATTTCCAGCCCTCTCCTAGTTATGCTCATTTTTATTTAGATAAAATTGAAAATTTCAATCATAATCTTCTCTTCATTATACTATATAATGTTTATTGTACTTATAACCTTATTTTCCTGTACATTAAATACCAGCTAATAATGCAAACAATTCATTTATAGACAATAAAAAATTCATAAAATTAAAAATTTTTTATATAAAATTAGATCTAATTTTTTTTATTTCTTTCAGTTAAAAAATATTATAAATCAAATTATTTGAAGTTGGAAGTTAAAGAAATTATTTATTGAATATGTAGATATGGTATCATCCATTGTGATAATTTAAGCTAAACATTGCCCACCAACCTGTGGTAATATGTTAAAATATTATTAACTTTTTTTTTTCAATGATTGAAAAAACTGACCCTTATTTGGTAATTAACGAATATTATATTTTATTCCTTAATCATTTTGAAATTTTAATATATATTTCAATCATATTATTTCTTGCAAATTGTTTCTTGACTTTAACAAATAGTCCAATTTATCTTAAAAAATGGCTTAAATACTATTTTGACTTAGATATTTTGTATAAATTAAATATATAATGAATATCAGGAATAAAAATTCCAGCAAATAAATTAACCAGGTATTACTTAAACATTAAAAGTTTTAATAATTTATATTAGTTTTTGATAACTTTTGTTATTGTGAGATGTAACATATCTTGTTAAAATAAAAAAATTTAGGTTGTATGCACTTATGTTTTGTCCTTTTCAGTTTAATGCTAGTTAAATAAGTTTCTCTTCATATGATTGCAATAAAAAAAATTATTTAACATATTACAGACACTAAATAAGGCTAAACTTTAATTTTATCCAAAATGTATTAAATCTAGATATTTGGACAATATATGGTTAATTGATTATGTGCATTTATCGATTCAGTGATTTTTTGAATTTTTACTTTCAATAGAACTAGATAATACAGTGTCAGTATGTTGCTGTCACAATATCCTACCAGCCTGAAGTTCAAGTGAATCTGTATTTAGATGGCATAATAGTGTAAAAAATAAAGCTAAAAAAAGCATTTTAGATTTTTTTTGTATAGTTTTTTAATATGCAGTACAATAGCATATTGGTCAGAAGGGTTAGAATATTGTTTATAGATCGCTTTGTTACAAGCTTTTCACGTAAATTTGTGATTTTTGTCTATATCTTTCTTCTGTTTAAAGGGATGTCGTATGTTAACATAACCTATAAATATATATTGTGGATTCCATTACATTAAAAATATTAGTGTTTACGTCGTATTATAAATTTTACATTATTCTTTAATTTAAGTGTATGTGGGCAATGAATTCATGAAACAAATTTACAATTAGGCAAAAACTATTTTATATCAATAAATTATGGTTCACGTATACTACAGTTATTCCGCATTTTTTAAATTATAAGCTACCTTAGATATCCTTCAATTTTTTTGAACTCTAAATAAGAACTGCGAAGTTGGCCCCCGGGTTTTCAAGGGAAATTGTTAGCGAAAAAGGAAGATCGGCATTAATTGCCTTAATTATCCCTGATATCGCTAGTAATTTCCCATTTTCGATTACTCAACAGAAAACGGGTGAAATTGCCCTTTTCCGCTAACCTATCCAATGGCTGTTTTCTCCGATTCTTGTTGTTAAATAATTCCAATCTATGGCTTAAAATTAAGTTTTCAATTTCTCTCGTCATCCCCTTGTGGCGTTCCCACGGTTCGACCATCCCCATCGAGATGGCATCGGTCAGCCACGAGCGGCAAGACATACGCTCGTTGAATATATAAGTCTGCATAGCGACTCACGCACTTCGAGCGTATGAGGCAGATGTTACCGGCCGTAAAGCCTCACTGACGAGTCCAGCCGGTAGCATCGGGACGAAACGCTCTCTTCCTTACCGACCGCCGAGTGTGAGCCTGGCTACCTCACACCGCACCAAATCTTTTCCTGAGACACATCTCACGTCCAATTACGCATGCGCTCCGACGTGCATGCACTACTTCCTACTTCTTACAGCCACACCCTTATTCGCCTTCGCGATAAATATTACTAATTTTAAATAAACATTGATATAAATGATGTCTGGAGTGGCGGGAAAATGTTATTAGTCCAAATTTCAACGTTCCATTCCAACCAAGCCCAGCTGTTGGCGCGCAGAGTAGGCTGCTTTCAAACCAAAAGTGTATTGAATCAACAGTAGCACTGTCATCCGCAGTTCGTATGTAGAACAGTTACAGAAGGGAGTCTAAGTTAAGTATTGTTTATTCTCTTGTGCCGCTAATATAAAATGAGTAAACAAATTTGTGTTATGTAATTATTGTGTACGGTGTGGTACTGTTTTTGTTAAAAAATTTCTTTTTTCAGCATCTATATTTCACTATCACTTATATACCAGTAATGTTGAAAATAAAGAGTGACATATCAAAAAATATGCTTGTAAGTATACTTTTTAGAAAATTATATTTAGAATCAGTCGTTACTATTAAAAAAATAATATTTGGTTGTATCCTTGGGAGAAAAATCCATAGATTTTCACTTCAAAAGCATTTGTTTTCCAGATTGTTTAATATGATTTACGAGTCAAATAATGTTGAGATTTACTGCAGCGATGTGCCGTGCAAATAGTCCATTATCTAAATCAGTGTTTGATACGTATGTATGTACCTATCAAAGCCTCGAGAATTATTTTCAACGTTGAATTACTTTAGTTCTCTCTTTAATCGTTGAAAAATGTCAAAGAAAATTTATGAAATAGTTGGGCCTTTAAGACATATATTAAAACAAAAATTTTTCAAAACATTATACCATCAGATATGCTTGAGTTCCTATTGCGTACAACTCATAATACATTTATCTTTATTGGTAGTCTATACTGATGATCTAGTATTCAATATTGGTAACTTTCGTCGTAAGAACAGATTGGAAAATTGTTGAAATCACGAGGACTTCTCGTTATTTTCTCTATAAAAATAAATATTAAATACTAATACTATATTCAAGAATGTAAGTTTTTATAATCAACAAAAACGCTGAACTTTTTATTTATAACTATATTTTCAACAGTATTATTAGATCAAATAAAAACTGTAAACAAGCTTTACATGAAATTTTCGTTTTTAAGCGTTATTTATTTACACTCGCATATTTATTATTAACGTTTTTCAAAAAACATTGAATGGTAAAACTAATTTCACTTACGAGGTGTGATCAAAAAGTAAGGTGAATTTTGAAATTTTAAAAGTGGGCTACGTCCGTTCGATCTTCGACTTTTTTATTTGGTTATGTCGGTACACTCGTCTAGAACATACGTTCCAAATTTTAGCTTTGTAGTATGTTTGGTTTGTTTGTGAGAGGCATCAAGTTTTGCGTGCTCCACGATTTGCTGCTGTCTAAAAACATGGATCAAAGAGTTTGCATTAAATTTTGTGTGAAAAATGGAATCAAATGTTCCAAAACACTTGAAATGCTGAAAGTGGCATACGGTGAGTCTACTTTAAGCCAAAAAAATGTTTACAAGTGGTATAAACTCTTCCAAGAAGGCCGAGAAGACACCGACGACGAACCTCGTTCTGGACGCCCCAGCACATCAACAACTGATGAGAATGTTGAAGAAGTGAAGAAAATAGTGCTGGGAAATCGTCGAATTACCATTAGAGAAATTGCTGATGATATTGGCATCTCATTTGGTTCGTGCCAATTAATTTTGACGAGTGTTTTAGACATGAGACGTGTGTCAGCGAAGTTTGTTCCGAAATTGCTCAATTTCGACCAAAAGAAACGTCGCATGAGCATCGCCGAAGAGCTACTGAATGACGTCAACGATGATCCAGATTTACTCAACAGGGTTATAACAGGTGACGAAACATGGGTATACGGTTATGACGTCGAGACTAAGACTCAATCGTCCCAGTGGAGGCATTCTGGATCACCAAGACCAAAAAAAGCACGCCAAGTTCGATCAAATGTAAAGGTTTTGCTTACAGTTTTCTTTGACTGCAGGGGCGTGGTGCATCATGAGTTCTTGCCACAGGGTAGAACAGTAAATAAGGAATATTACCTGCAAGTTATGCGCAATTTGCGCGAAGCAATCCGCCAGAAACGTCCGAATTTGTGGAAAAATAAAAATTGACTTTTGCACCATGATAACGCCCCTGCTCACACATCGTTGCTTGTGCGCGAATTTTTGGCTAAAACCAACACAGTAACAATGCCACAGGTA